TGTCTGCCTGCATTGGACAAAGGGGATGTAATACGATTGTCATGATTTTCTCGAATGAGATCGGCCCATTTTCTAGCAAATGAATTGACAGCACAGGGGGATATCTTTATACTCAAATCGAAGCCACGCTCACTTCATGATGTCGCCGACGTTGACCAGCGGAAGAAAGATCCGTTCCACCAATATTACAAGGCACACTGGAGCTCGAAAAGAGCATGATGGATTCTTTTATATCAAGCAGAGTCTAAATCTATGCATATAACAATTCTAGCTAGTGGGTTCAAGTACCTCCTGATGTTCCGCACCGCCGAGCAAGTATACAAAGGGACTCTGCGTGATGCATGTGTACACTCTGAGAACACAAGAGGCTAAGAATCACTGAGTGGGCTGGACGCCTTGCGGGTGACCGGAAAACCCGACCTAGCTAAGTCTGCCACTTGAGTATCACAATGTTCGAGTCAAGGGAAACGAAGGTGAGTGTGACCTATAAGACGGAAGTACCTGAGCCTTCGGTCTCGTCTCCCCGCACTTAAAGCATGGCGTTCCATGGGTCTGCTGACCTTAATTTCATTTAAGTTAGTCAAAGTTAGGACACTTTGAATCCCAAGAAAGGTTATGAGCATAAATCCCTGAATGATTAGACTCTCTGACCAACCGGTCACACACACCCATAAGTCACATATCACATATCACATACTGCGAAGGGTGGAATTCTCAACTAGTCACATTCCATTCCTATCAGGAAACACCCACGCCAAACTCACAGTTTAGCTCGGGCTCTATGCTGTGTAGACATCGATTGGCTATTGGCTGACATGCAGGTAGAGGCAGGGTACTTCATCTCTTGTGGGGAAAAGATCTGCGCCATTTATTCACATTCTCATTTCCACTAGGACACCTCCAGGACATGAAACAGAGAACAGGGCATGACGGGAAAATTGACCTCCTCGGAAATAAATAGCCAATGGATATCCTTGGTCTGCAGTCACTCGCTATATATTTCCCCGTCTTGAGTGGTATTTCGGGGTGGGATTCCTTAATTTGCTTTTCTTTCGGCTGAAGATACAGGGTCATTGACTCTACCCCTTTTCTGTCATGCGCATGCCTGCATTATCCGATTGTGTCTACTGTCAGCATCGTCCAGGTCGCTATACATACATAAACCACGTTGTCCCCGGCTTCTGTTGCCCATGCTTCCATAGCCCGTGAATCGAAAGCACCTGCCTCGCCAACTTACCTCTTTAATGATTCAGGGTCAAGATGTATTATTCTTTTGTGATCAAGTATTTCTCTTTGGTGGCTTGTGCCAATGCACAGCTACTAGAGATCCCCGCTGTGGATGCTATAGTCAGCTCTGCCATGCTCCCTTTTGAGCAGTATACTTCCTTCGGTGCTTCAACAAAGACTGCCTCGGCTGCTGTAAGCTTCGAGACCAAGGTCGCCGTGGTCAACTCTCCTGTTGCAGCCGTGGCAGCAGCAGACGCTGCGTACTGGCTAGCAGACATCGCCCACCAAGGAGTCGCAGCCTTCAACTCGAACCCTTCTGGCTACCAAGTCTTCCGAAACGTGAAAGACTACGGAGCTATAGGTGTGCATTGAAGGATCGCTACTACCTGAGACGTACTAAAGTGAGCATAGGTGATGGTGTGACCGACGATACGGCCGCGATCAATGCGGCCATAAGCGCCGGTGGCCGGTTTGGCCCGGCAAGCAGACAATCCTCGACCACGACTCCTGCGATAGTCTACTTCCCATCGGGAACGTACCTGATCTCATCGTCGATTATTGATTACTATTTCACCCAGCTGATTGGCAACCCGAATGCAATGCCTGTTATAAAAGCAACCGCAGGTTTTGTCGGACTGGGGCTGATTGACGGTGATCAATACCAGAGCGATGGAAACCAGGGCTGGACGTCGACGAATGTGTTCTTCAGACAGGTTCGCAATTTGAAATTGGACTTGACCTCAATCCCTGCCGGTACTGCTGCGACTGGTATTCATTGGCCGACTGGCCAAGCTTCCAGCATCGAGAACGTTGTCATTGCTATGAGTTCTGCTTCTGGAACACAGCACCAGGGTATTTTCATTGAGAATGGTATGTTGCTACTTTATTTTTTTTAGGTCTATACTAATCCAATACCAGGCTCTGGTGGCTGGTTGACCGATGTGGTAATTAATGGTGGCCTCTATGGTGCCAATATTGGCAACCAGCAATTCACAATGCGGAACCTGGCCATTTCAAATTCAGTGACCGCAATTTCTCAGATCTGGAACTGGGGGTGGACTTATCAAGGTCTGTCTTTGACTAACTGCACAACTGCTATTTCGATCAGCAATGGTGGTGCTGGGGCCCAACTCGTTGGCTCGGTCAATATCCTTGACAGCACCATCCAAAACTGCCCTACCTTTGTCGATACCGCTTGGCAGACTTCCACACTATCAACTGGAAGTCTCATTCTGGAGAACATAATTCTGAACAACGTCCCCGTTGCAGTCAAAGGCGTCAGTGGTACTGTTCTTGCTGGCTCGGGGGCCTCTACGACCATTGCTGCTTGGGGACAAGGCCACAAATATACTCCAAACGGACCGACCAACTTCCAGGGCTCTTTCACTGCACCGACACGTCCTAGCGCTTTGCTTGCTGGTGGATCGAACAGATATTTTACCAAGTCAAAGCCTCAGTATGAGCAATCACCAGTTGCTTCGTTTGTCAGCATTAGAAGTGCAGGCGCCAGGGGAGATGGTTCAACCGATGACACGACAGCCATTCAGTCTGCGCTGACATCTGCCGCATCTGCAGGTAAGATTGTGTTCTTTGATCAAGGAACGTACAAAGTCACCGGCACTATTTACGTCCCACCGGGCTCTCGGATTGTCGGAGAGGCATATCCTGTCATCATGGCAACCGGCAGTGTATGGTCGAGCATTACCAATCCCGTTCCGGTGGTTCAAATTGGCAAATCTGGAGAATCTGGGTTCGTTGAATGGTCTGATATGATAGTGAGCACCGCGGGCTCCACGCCGGGCGCTGTACTCATTGAGTGGAACTTGGCAGCGACATCAGGCGCTGGGATGTGGGATGTTCACACTCGAATCGGGGGCTTCCAAGGATCTCAGCAGCAGGTTGCTCAGTGCCCGACGACTGCAGCTGTCTCGGCAGGCTGTGAGGTTGGTTACATGTCCATGCACATTACCAAAGTCGCCAGTGGTGTTTACTTGGAGAATGTCTGGCTATGGACCGCCGACCATGACCTTGAGAGCGCTACTAATACTCAAATCTCGGTCTATACCGGTCGCGGTCTCTTGGTAGAAGGAAATAATGTCTGGTTGTAAGTGACAGATAATCCTCACAATGCTTTCTCATAACTAACATCGGCGCAAGATACGGAACGGCGTCCGAGCATCACTCGCTGTATCAGTATCAGTTCTCAGGCGCGAGTTCGATTGTGGCAGGGTTCATACAAACAGAAACTCCGTAAGTGATCCAACACGTGCTGCTGCCCTTGCATCTCCTGTCCTAACCAATTGCATGCAGATACTATCAACCAAATCCCAATGCAGCCAACGGCCCGTACCCTACCAACTCGGCTCTCAATGACCCTGACTATAGCAGCTGTCTCGGCGGAAACTGCGACTCTCTTGGTCTTCGGATTCTCAATACCAAGGATGTGATTATCTACGGGGCTGGGCTATACAGCTTTTTCAACAACTACAGCACCACTTGCTCCACCTTCCCCCTTCCAGAGGATTGCCAAAGTATGATCTTCAGCGTTGAGGGCAGTACAAGTGGACTGGTGGTATATGGGTTGAACACTGTTGGGACAAGCTATATGATTGTGAAGGATGGTACTGCGTTGGCGACGGTTGGCGACAATCTGGCTACGTTCGCTGCTACTATTGCGTACTTCACCTTCTAGGGTATTTAGTTATGGAAGGGGAAAGGTCGTGAATGCCGAAGATCATCCAGTACATATGCAGTTTCAGTGGTGTAAATTGGACTAGTTGCCAAGATCGTTGACTCTCAAGGCGTTTGAGCTTTAATGATACACAGCTCTGATTTCAAGAAATTCTTTAGCTTGAATCTCCGTAGGGGGCGCATAATGCATGTCTTCAAAGAGTACCCTAAGCTTATGGAACTTAATGAGAGATGAGACCAACTACTCGTCCGGCAAATCAAAGGGCCAGATATCTCTCAGGTCCCTTTCATCCCTAATTGGTTCATCCTCATTAGGATCTTCATTTGTCAGAACAGCTTGCAACATCCCATCGAACATTGCCTTGTTTTGTAATTTTGCCTCTTCCCAAATCTCTGGAGGAACCCATCCATCAGATGCACAATCAGGCAAGTTTGACAAATCACGTTTTAGGTTCTGGGCCGCCTCAAAGCATCTGTATTCTTTTCGATGAACAGCCAGTTCTTCCGGTCTCGGTGAGACAAATGGACACGAGCCAACGAGTCCTAGCGCCTCCCAGTCCCTAGAAGTTTCAATGAGCTCCTGCCTGAAAGCAACAGCGCAATCTTTCCACGTTCTGTAGCAGTACCTAAGCGGTCGGAACATGCCTTCATCCATCATCCTAGGGAGGACGAGCTTTGGGGTGAGGAATTGAGTACAGACTTCGAAGGTGTCTCTGCATAGCTCGCTGTTGTTTAGATTCCCAGAAGGCAATTCGGAGGAAGGCGAACAACTTGCGAAGTCTGGAATCTCATCCGCATACCAGAAGGCTGGCTCTATGCTGGATGACTGCCAATCAATAATGCCAGTTATAATCGAGGGATCATCATCCGAAACAAATATGTTCCTCTTATGTAGGTCGGGGTGAAAGAGGATTGGCGCAGCTGCATCATGTAGTTGGGTATCTGCAGACATCGAATGGAGCACTGTACGACCACGTTCGAGAGGGTCTAAATGTGACTGAACTGAGCCGTGATAGAATGGTCGATTTGAGATCTAGGAGTCATTCGGTGGAACTCTTGAAAGACCTGCATCCACTAGGCCATCAGAGTATGCAGTCAATGTCAACCCTTACCCTCAAATTTTAGCCATCATCTTCTGAAGAATGGGCTAGGAGAGACTCACAAGGGCCTTGATTGGGAAGTGTATGCTGGTCGTATCTGCGCTCGCCACAATCCCAATATCTTGTTCCACAGTGGGGTCCGAGGCGAAAGCCGCCATTTAGTAGTAGCCCAGAGAAAGAGCCCAATGAAGGGGTGGAAAGATATAAGCTTCCATAGGCTGGAAAGTCAATGTCGGCCATCTCTTTAAGCTTTCTGTAGATGGCATCTACAAATCGAACCTTCTAGTCGCCTGGCATATAGGGCCACTTCTGTTGTAACTGAACTCCTGCCGCATGTTCCATGATACGGCAGAGTTCGTCAAAATTAATATCAAGATGGCGTATCTGGCGTTGATGCTTATCGTTCCGAAGCCATCGACCACTTGTATACGCATGAGGATTAACCCCTAAGTCCATATTTATGCAATGCGTATTACATGATTTCCAAATGGTCTCACCAAGTACCGTTTCCTGGTCTATTGCACGCCCCGAGAAGGGCTGTGCGCGATTGGGGTTGGAGATAGAGGATGCAAACGGGGTGAGAATAGGAGAAGGTCGGATATAACGAGACTCAGGGTAATCCAAGAAAGGCAATCGCAACATATATACCTTTCTGCGGCTCCTTGTGCGATAGGGTGACAAGGTAGCAGTGGGATCGTATGCGCCCCTTATATATCCTGCATGAAGGGGTTCACCAGCCCCTCTTTTCCAGCATCTATATTTTCTCTCTCTTGACAAAAGAACTTATTACCATTTTGATACTAGCACAATACTCAAATTCTATAGTTTAACCACTCCTAGATTATTATGCCTAATGTAAGAATCTAGTCAAAATTTCGATCACATCCTCTCTAGTTGGACGAAATGACTTTGAATATCCCTATGACCATAATTCTAGGCGTAGTGACTGAAAGTATGCAGCCTCGGAGACACACGGTGATAGGATACCGTCGATCCAAAGGGACCAGTCGTCATCCCATCGTAAAGCACAGACAGCTAGGCAATATTCCCAATACCCTGGATACCATCCGGATTTTCCTAATTAATTATCACAACGCGCCCCCCTTCTTGGTCTCGATGAGGTTTCTTGTATAGTATAATGTTCTTTCTTTATAAATCACTATGGGTAAATGTCGCCTTATTGCCCTTAAAAACAAAAGGAAAGCATTTCTGAAGATATTCTGCCCTATAGTACGGGCCTCCGTTGTAGGTATACTTTCGTAGTATTGCTTCGTTGAGATCGCCTTCAGAGTTAAAAGGACCATTCACTAATAGATCTGGCTCCTGTGTCCAAAATATATCATCTAGAAGCTGTCTTTGGTTAAGACTACCAAAGTATTCTAGGGATAGAAGCTGGCACAAGTTGTCAAAGTATCCCTACAGGTCTTTCAGTATTTCCTATTTTTCCGATGTTATAAGTTGCGGCCATACTGAAAGAAGTATTTGACCGAGAACACACTCCATAACAATGAAGTTTTTGCCTATCTCTAGATCCGAATATAGGGCGAAGACTCGCGGGATAGGGATGTTTGTATTATACCGAACAAATAACATACTTTCTCCTTCAATAAGATCGACACCTAGTCCAAATTTCACAACAAAATGCTGGCCTACTCCGACTATTCTTCGCCCTCCATGTCGCATGGATAAGTCCGGGGCATTCTCGATTTCAGTACCAGTAGGTAGCGGGCAGGGCAATTCAGTCGCATAGAACGGCATTTCAAATGACGTCTTCATCGTCGCTCATCATCATCGGGTAGTTGGTAGATGGGTATTCCGCAGGGGAGGGTGACAGCGCTGATCTTATTTATCAGCATAGTGATGCAAACACCCAACATATACGTTTGTTTGTCTTCATCACGGGAAGGGAAGGTGATGACCCCAACGAATATAGTATCGTCGATTCGAAAGATGTAGTATCCAGTACTAGATTGGCTCTCATGTGCTGATTTAGCAATTGTTGTCACGGGAACGAGAAATCAACGAAGCCTCAAGTTTCTTAATACTTCCGAGTGAATTTGCAGTATTGATTGTAACTAGTTGTTAAAAAAACGGTATTGTATGATTTGCACTCGCGGGGTTTATTTCCCCGAGCTCCCGAGCTGTCCATTCCGGGGTGACCCCGTAGACCCCGCTCATCCCGAGGTCTATAAGCTTCCCCCACACGCGGATTCATATCCGAGTACGCAATTTTGTCTTGACATTGAGCTATTATACGCCGTATTTAATGTTCGCCTCTTCCATTTAAGAGCTAAAGCTATACCCGTTCGTATAACAACAGCATATATACACCTTCAGCCTCTTTTTCCTCTCACGGGGCCGTTCATCATGACGAAAGCAACTGAAGACGCAATGATCTCGTTTGACTCCCTTCCACTAGACCCAACAGGCCCACGAGGGAATGCCTGGGGTCGATTTGGACAAGATGACCAACTTGGGACATTGAACCTGCTCACCCCCGAGCGGGTTGTCGAAGCCGCCAAGGAAATCAAAACTGGCGTGCGAATCTCTCTTGACTGGCCGTTGAGCATGCCTTCGTATCCAAGCTTCAATCGCAATCCATTTAAGCACGAGCTTATTCTTCGGAGTCCAAATTGTATTCATGATGACACCTTGGCATTCAATAGCCAGGGGTCTACCCAATGGGATGGATTTAGACATTACGGTGCGTTATTGAGCGTCTATGGCGTCTGAGATCATTGCTTATTGGTTGGCGAATCTAGCAAACCAGAAATCCAGGCAGTTTTATAACGGACATACCACGGAAGAGATAGAAAGCTCGGACATCATTGGAATTCACTGTATGCATCACCTCAAGGTACATGATTAACCCCGTACTAATCTCAACCCCTCAGCCATATGTGAACACGGTGGAATAACAGGTCGCGGCGTCCTCCTCGACTACGCAGAATGGGCCACCACAAACTCAATCCCCACCTCCGCCCTCAAATCCGAGACCATTACCGTCGAAAACCTGAAACGAGTAGTCAAAGATCACAACCTCAACTTTCAAAAGGGTGACATTCTCTTTATCCGCAGTGGCTTCACGGCTGCATACAACAAGCTGGACGACCAGCAGCGCAAGGACCTAGCCCTCCGATCATCGCCCGATTTTAGCGGTGTCGAGGCGACAGAGTGTATGGTACGATGGTTATGGGCGCATCAATTCTCTGCTGTCGCTGGTGATGCGCCGAGTTTTGAGCGTGCGCCTATTAGAGGTGCCCATGCGGACCCGAATTTCAATTTACATGAGTGGGTGCTGGCGGGCTGGGGAACTCCTATTGGGGAGATGTTTGATTTGGAGAAATTATCGGAACATTGCAAGGCTAGTGGACGCTATAGCTTTTTCTTGTCTAGTATGCCTTTGAAGGTTGGTTTCCCGCTTATTGACTGTGCGGGGATTGTGCTGATTCAGACTCGGTCTAGGTCATCGGGGGTGTCGCTAGCCCGCCTAATGCGTTTGCTATTTTCTAAATTTATCTTATCTACCAAAATGAGAAATAATTTGAGAGATCCGCCCCTCCAAAGTGCCCACAGAAATGCTGGCGGGATTGTGCCGCCGAGTGTCCCGCCGGGTGGAGAAGGACAACATCTCAAGTGAGAGCAAAACAAGTTGCACAGTTGTACGGTGGGAAGGTTGGACCCGAGTCCCCATCAACGATGAAAAGGTATAAAGATCCCATAGATCCCTTCTATGACCCCTTAATCCTCCACACAAACCAACAATCCTCAAAATAATTTCATCTTTCCTTCTATACACCTATTCAACTCCTCCCCTTTCTCGCCCACCATGCCTATCGAAGTCCCTCAAGCCAGCTCTCTCAAAGACCTCTTCAGTCTTAAAGACAAGGTCGTGGTCGTGACCGGCGCCTCCGGCCCCCGAGGAATCGGCTACGAAGCCGCCCGGGGCTGTGCCGAAATGGGCGGCAACATCGCCATCACATACTTATCGCGCCCCGAGGGCGCCGAAGCAAACGCCAAAGCCCTGCAAGAGGAGTTCGGAGTCAAAGCCAAGGCCTACAAATGCGACACAGGCAAATGGGACGAAGTGCAAGAGCTGGTCAAAAACGTGATCACCGACTTTGGCAGGATCGACTCCTTTATCGCGAACGCGGGCCGTACTGCCGATAAAGGTGTTCTCGAGGGCTCGGTTCAGGACTGGGACGATGTCATCCAGGCCGATCTCAACTCGGTCTTTTACTGTGCGAAGGCTGTTGGCCCCCATTTCAAGGAGCGCGGCAAGGGAAGCTTTGTGATCACCGCTTCGATGTCCGGCCACATTGTCAATTACCCTCAGGAGCAGACTTCGTACAATGTCGCTAAGGCTGGGTGTATTCACATGGCTCGCTCGCTGGCGAATGAGTGGAGGGATTTTGCTCGTGTCAACAGTATCTCGCCTGGATACATTAATACCGGTTTGGGAGACTTTGTGCCTGCTGATATTCAGGAGGGTTGGAATAAGATGATTCCTATGGGTCGCCAGAGTGATCCTAAGGAGTTGAAGGCGGCGTATGTGTACTTTGCCAGTGATGCTAGTACTTACACTACTGGTGCCGATCTGCGCATTGATGGAGGTTACATCTGCCGGTAAAGAGGAGTGGAAAAAGCTGCTGTGCGGTCTTTTCTGTATTTAAAAAGATACAATGAACAATTCTTGAAGAAACACTACTTTTTTGAAACTGATTTGAGAATTAGAAGTAAGCAGACAAATCTTGAGAAGCACACCCGCGATGCAGACTGAGAAAAGACAAGCGGAACCAATGACAGGAGGGGAAAAGTAGCTAACATCTACCATATTGTCACAGAGCCAAAGTCCCCCCATCAACAGCAATATCAGCACCAGTGATGTACCGTCCTGCACGATAACTACACAGAAGAACTACAGCCCCAGTAATCTCTTCAGGATCTCCCATCCGGCCCATCGGACAACGAGAATCCCAAATCTTCCTAACATCCGCCAAACTGTCCCCAGCATTAAGAATAGTATCCATATACCCGGGACTAATACTATTTACTCTGATCCCATGAACAGCCCACTCAGCAGCCAGACTGCGAGTCATATGCGCGACCCCAGCCTTGCTCGCATTGTAAGCCGCCTGCGGCTGCGGGAAATTGGTAAGATGGGCAGATATCGACGCAGTGAATAAAACACACCCGCCTTTGCCTGAGGATTCCATGCGCTTTGCTGCTGCCTGGGCGCAGAAAAAGGATCCAGTTAGGTTGACGTCTATAACTCTGTTGAATTGGTCGGGTGTTACTGAGAGGGATGGTTGGCAGCCGGGGATCCCAGCGAAGCAGCAGAGGATGTCGATACCTTCCATTGTCTTGTTTGCTTGTTCAAATGCGGCTTCGATTGACTCCATTGATGTCACGTCCAGGGGAATTTTGGTTATATTGGCAGAGGGGAACTTTGATGCTAGTGATTGAATTTGTTCTGATGACGTCTCCAACGTACTGGGGAGGTCCATGATACATAGTGAGGAGAGTCCATGTTCCAGGAGAGCCTGTGCAGAGACTAAGCCTAGTCCTCCTGCTCCGCCGGTGACTATGGCTTTGCCCTGAACTTGAAATCGTGCTTCTGCTCGTGAGCGACCATCTGTAAAGGGCACTGGAGCGAGGGGGCGAGTGAGCGGACTTGATCCCTCCGACATAGTCATTCTAGGAAGGACTCGGGAAATCAGAGAGGCACGCTGGTCCTCACTCGCTCCTGCTGAGGTGTTGGTAGGCATATTGATTCTGTAAGGCTAAATTCCAAGACAGACAGTTCACACTGGGCGCAGAGGATGTAAGAAGGAGTGGAAAGTATGTGGAGCGTGAATACACCGCCCTTGACGATCACTACCAGCAGCAAGTTTGAAGTAGCGAGCTCTGTGAGAATAATAATTCTGACGCTGGCGGGGAAGTAACACACCGATACGATAATGTCAGGTGGGGAAAGGCGGATGGGAGGCGGGACACTTCCGCCAAAGCGGGGGAGTCGGGGATTTTCCTTTGCCGACATCCACTAAAGTACGCTGTCTGAAGGTATTGAGATTGCCAAGTACATTGGTGTATTTGAGGTTCTTTCTCATGAGATAAGGAGGCCGCTCGGAAATAATTCCTCTTAATTACAACATCCCCTTCCTCCCCTGAGCCTGTTCGATCGGCTGCCAAAAATTGACACAGAAACAGGTTTGACCATGAATTCGACTACGATTGTGCGAGTCTCCGGCCTCGTTAGATTTTGGTTAGAAAGAGCTTGCCTCATCCAGTCGCGCGCTCGTCCTGGTGCAACGGCCACTCTACGCACAATTGCTTTCTACCGCCAAGGCCGTGATGCTGCATATTCCATCTCAAATCACGTCTGTTGATATTGGAGTCATAATGTCTGAATTCGTGTTGGTTCGTCCTAGTCACGGGGCGATGGATTTCAGATGACAATCCGCCATCGCCAACGATTTTTCTTCGAGTCCGTGGCCAACCAGTTGCAGATTAACCGACATGCCATGTGCAGACTCGGCATAGTTTGGCTTTGTTAGTATTCGAATACGTCAAACTTCAACTCTTCAATCACGCATTATTGGCACAAGACCAACTTCTGGAACTGGAGTCTTCGTGAATGGCGACTCCTGACACCCATAGTCCCAACCCGCACTGGAAAGGATTAGCCACCATAACTGGATATAAGTAGGGGCATACCTACAATAGCAAAGGCAATAGCCAAGACCAAAATATTGGTAATCGTCAAAACAATCTTCTTCCAGTTCTGGAAGTAACGGCCCTTATTCATATAGAACCAAAAGATCGCCGGGAGTCCGACTAATGATACGTGAGCACTTGTTCAGATCTTGAAATTCAATGATGGAAAGGGGGGTCAATCTTACAGCTAAACCAACTTCCAAAGACCGCACTCTGTAATCTCCACATCAGCAAACGTTCCCGGTCGAGTGAGATTCGATAAACTTACAATCAGACTCAGCAGATCATTGAACACGGGAATAGATTCTGCCACGACCCAGGCAACAACCCAGACTGCGAGACAGATACCGACCCAGGACCCAATCGACAGTAAGGTTCGGCCGTGCATCTTGTCTGACCCACGGAACATACGCACATAGATGTATTTGCACGCGACGTGACCCAAGACAACTCCGGAAAGAATTGTCTGTATTGAATCAGTAAGTGGGATACAGAAGACGAACCAAAAGAATAAACTCACCGTTGGAATTGAAAGACCCCAGGCAATCTTGCCCATCAACGGGCTTAGAGAGAGAATGGCAGGCGATTGCACGCCGACGCTGGTGGCTGTCTCCGGTCCCACGTAATGATAGATGAGCAGTGCACTAACAAGGTACAGGGTGGTGTCGATGATTTGAAGCATGGCGAGTGACTTGTTGAATGTACGTGGGTCTTCTGTTTCAGACATGAAGCCAAAGTACGCAACGTGGGCGACTATAAGATCGGTCTCTGGATTAGCTCGGTTTATTTCAAGTGCTGGTCACCGTCATCATTTGGCGATTCACTGTTTAACTTACGGTAAGCGAAGATGATGTTTGTCACCGCCAAAAAACCTTCGCGGAAGCTGACATCCGTTGTCGCTTCGTTCTTGACATGTCCTTTGCTCTCGACTCCCACGGTGATCATGGTCAACACTGTCGCAACGAAGACACTCAAGAATGCTTCATACACATTAGTTGAGTTCTCATCTGAGTTGAAAAGTGTCATGACTGCACTCACAAATGACGGACATCCAGTAGACCTTGTCCATGGTACGAGGCAAGGCACCCAAAAAGCAGATGACCAGTCCAACGACACCAAACACCAACGTGCAGGTACCGTGATCGGTCAATACATTCATCAGAATGTTGAACATCAAAATGTTGCTCGCCATGAGGAAGATCAACAGCAGCAGCTGGCCAAGTCCTAGCAACTCACGGCCGAAAGGACCCATCAAGATCTCGCCGGCATCTCCCATGCTGTGAACTGCAGGATGGCGAAGTTTGAATTGGCCAATGACGTAGCCAGTATACCATGAAAGAGCAGAGACGAACAAAATCATAATAGCAGCGCTGTTTGACATTGTTAGTTATGGGATCTCGAAGCTGTCGAAGAGAATACATACGGAACCATTCCAAGGGTAGCCACTGCGGATGGCAAAGACAGAATTCCGACAGAAACATTCTCTGCGATCATGACTGCAATTGATGTTAGGAGCCAAGCTTTTGATCTCAAATTTAGCTACTCACGCATTCCACAGTGCCTTTTCAAGCTTGATTAGCCATGTCCATGGTCGAATTCACAATCTTTATGCAGGAATTAACAACTCACCACCATTTCATAGTCCGATACTTGACCTCCGCTGTGTCCTCATTTCCAAAGGGCTCCAATTGCGTCGCGTCCAATTTTTTCTCCACGTCTTTTTCGAGTGGTCTCTCGATCTTGCTGTCCGCAACATACTTTTCGTCCGACATGGTGTTCCTTCCACGCGACTTAGTCGAGACTTTAGACCTCTAACTTTAATAGCTCTCAATATGTTTCAAAGACTGAAAAGAATCGGGTAATCCCGATCTCGATCAAGCCCTAAAAAATCTCTGAAAGCCGGGGAACTCAGGTGGAGCCGAGAGTTTCCCGAAGATCGGCCCGAAACAACTTTGAATCTCATTTTTAGACGTGGCCATGTCTTCGGCTTCAGATAATTTGAATTTAACGAGTAATGACCTTGAAAACAAAGATCTTGAATAGGAGTCAGCCTAATTGTACAATAGTATATACCTAAGGAACCAAGACAAAGAAGACTGGTAAACGGCCTTGGTGTGGGTCGGTGTTCTTGGCAAGGGGCGTTGTGTCCTCCGTTCTCCGTACTGCAAAGGAATATGGAGATGGAGATGTCCAGGTCGAAGAGAGATTTTTCCCAGTAAATAAAAGAGAAGAGAACGAAAAACAATATTGGAAGGGTTGATGAGCTGTTAAGTATTAAATAAGATTAAAGTTATCTTTCCTCTATCGTAAGCTTTCCCCAGGGCTGGGCGAGCGGGCGGAAGTGTCGATGACTAAGGCGGAACAAAATCTGTTCACGGGTGGAAGCGGGTTCCCGGCGGACTTTCCCGTCTTGTATCGACATCAACGCCAACACGGTTCATCTAGGTGGCTTTAAGCCTTGAAGCCCATATCATTTACTACATGGAAACTGGTCGTAAGCGTGCTTCTTTGGCATGCAACTATTGTCGCAGGCGGTAGGTTCCCCTAACTCCTATGACCAAGTTTCCTCATGCTGACAGACAAGCAGGAAACGTCGCTGCAATGGTGCGATACCCTCCTGTAGCCTCTGTGAGGATTCAGGTATTGATTGTGTTTATAATGAAGCTGATACTGCGAGGTGAGACACCCGTTTGTTTTTTTCAAGTTTCGCCATCGTTACTGAACCCCGACAGGCCTCGAGGGGAAACTTCCTCTTCGGAGTTCTTTCGCCGTCTCGATGCAATTGAGAACTTCTTATGGAGTCATCCGAGACTCCCTCAAACACCCCAGACTGGTGAAAGAAGGAGTGGTGATTTCACACTCCCGCCGTCATCTGAGAATGAAAGAGCGGACTTTTCTCATCCTTCTACCATGTTGATTTCGTCTCCGTCAAGACCAAACCCGGCGGATATCTCCCAGCTTATAAGTACGAATTCGTCTACTTTCATACCACCTGAACATGATATACCACCCATGAGTATTCCCATCGGTCATACAACAACAACCGAATATATGCTGCATATGACTAGAGTAAAGGCGCTCTTCGGAGAGTTTCCCCCAGACTTGTTTATACGCGCAGAATCAAAAAGGCATATGCCACACCAGCTATCTTTTGTTCCAGGTACAATTACAGCGAGTCAGTTGCCAATCCTCAATGAAACGAGCACTTATCCACTAGTGGAGGCGTATTTCAAACACGTCCATGTTGAGATGCCAATCCTTGACAAAGACCAATTCTTGGGGCTTTACGATCACCATATTAGGGCCGGTCTGAGCGTTGACTGTGACTCTGCACTATGCCTTGCAGTTCTTGCATTAGGCTCTGCAGCTCTCGAGCAGGTTGACCCGATAAAGTCCAAGTCTCCATACTGGGTGCCTGGGGCAGACTTCATTTCACCTGCGTTGCAGATATTGATGAATGAATATTTACTTTCATTTTGTCCCACAATCACTCTCCCCCAGAGTTTGATACTCATTTCGAAATATTTTGGGTTTCTTTTACGCCCTCTGCAATCATGGAAACTGGTCCACATGGCTTCCACCAGTATCCAGTATTTAAATAGCCGGTTCGTTAAGCTCTTTGTCCTTCCGTTTGATTTCAGCTATTGATCAAGCATCTGTTTGGGATAGAAGCCAAGCTTCGGCAGATAATCATGACCTCAAATCCAGCATTATTCTGCTATCGTGGGCAGCGTTCGACACCGAGTGGTTGGTTTCTTGGTCCCATCCGGGTAAATCACGTTGATGCTGATATTGATACCAGTGATCTGATAGCTGAACACCATTTACCACGAAGCGGTATCGAACATGTAATTGATCTGACACCTTTTCCAACCTTTGCAAATAACGACGCCAAAGAAACACACGTCTTCCTCGCCGAACTATCCATTCGTCGCCTACTAAATAGAGTACACCACACTATGTACGGAAGTGACTGGACAAGGCGCAGCCTCGGTCTACAGCCAGTCTCAAGCGACAGTCCCTCTTATGACTTCCAATCGCTCTCTGCGATCCTGAATGTCTCCCAAGAGCTTGCCCGGCAGCTCGACAATTGGTTTGACTTATTACCGCGAACAATTAAACCAGATATGAACGATCCGTCACGATGTACTGGCCTTCAACTCAATATGCTCCACCGCTTCCACTCCGCCAAGGATATCATAACTAGACCATTTCTTCTTTGTGCAATTGACTCATCACCCGAGAATGATGTTCCCCCTATGGTACTCAAACAGTGCGAGTCCAGCATAGCCAATTGTCGAACGTATCTGGATGCCTCAACGCGGAGACTGGTGGGCCCGTCATTTTGCGCAGAAATCATTATTCATACGTATGTCTACGAGATACTTTATACTTGGACTCAACTAATGTTTGATTCTTTAAGGATGTTTTCTTCTATTCTTCTCCTGACCCTAGGCTCTGTTTGTCCAGCTTTGGCCCACTTAGTACCGGATATTGATACTTTGCAGAAGAACACGATAGAAACCATCGAGCGATTTGCCGTGGAAGGCTCTTTGATGCAGGAGATTCATGGGATCATTGTGTTATTACATAGTAAAACACGAGTTCTCAGGCGGGCTATGTAGCCGCTTTAATATCGCATTCTTCTGTTGTCAGGATAAGCAGCCTGCCTTGCTTCAAGCATAAATCAGTACCATGCGCCAGGTATTGGGGAGATACTCCAGCCATTACTGTTCTAACTTAGTAGCCTTAGTAGGCTTTATTAAAAATGTAGTTTGCCTGTGACGAGGTTCATCCGGACTGTGAATGGGCGGCCCGCCCCGCGGCGGATGACTCCGCCAGTCCGCCCATTGAAGCCGTAAGACCGCCCGATAGACTCGGCATATTTCCCTGCAAGGCAACAACTCTAATTGCAACACCATTGAAACAAGTACACGGTTTATAAACTCTCTATATAATGTTCTAGGCGAGAACTAAATTCCAAACTCTGACCCGCCTGTATAGATGGCACGGGCCACGCGGATGAATATTGATCCGGCCCCACGTTGCTTCGTGAGGTCCCCAAGGCTACCGCGAAGAGTTGCCACTGCACTTGGGACCAAGCATGAATCAAATTCCGCTGGAAGGTGCATCCAGATCCCAGTGTGACCAATTCTGGGTATGTACTCGCGGGCCCCTGTTCCCGCTCGCACCGTCTGACCAATCCAGGACTCGCACAATGCGTGGTTATCACCTTGTGCATTGCCATACCTAGCATGCATCCCGGCCATAATAGTGTTGCTTATTGCATTAAGCCATATACTTGAATACTCCTGCCAGCGATGGCGCCCCAAGTGGACTGTTCCTTTTGTGTCTGAGCAACATGATACTCAAGATCTCCCGCTAGATCAGCCCAAGCAATCATTGCGATGGACTATCTCTCTCCTTCTATTTTCGGCTACTGGGCTTCTAGCCGAGACAGTTCAATTTGTTCCTCCGACAATTGACGCCTCGGCCTTTGCGCTTGTTCTCTCATGGGTCGGTTCTTCCCGTCTCTGGGAGTATCAATTACTGATATCCCTCTTTAGGCCACAGCATCTATTCTGGTCGCAGTCAAGCGGCCCAGATCATGTTCCATCTTGATGCTTTCGTATTATTTTCTAGCATTTACAATTGAACTTTCTTTGGCTACTCACCCAGATGTATGCCCGAAATTCAAGATTGTTGCTCGCTACATTGCCGCAGGGGCAGCGGCGGCAGCCTGTGCAACAATCCTCCTAATGCCATTCCGCGAACAGTCTTTGCCATCGATAGATATTAGTGCTGTTGGTCAACAGCCATCAAATAACTTTCGCACCCCAGAAGATAATCTGAGGCTCTGGCAGTTCCTCACAGTGTCTTGGATGGCACCGCTGATCTTAACTGGGCGCAAAAGACAACTTCATGAACGAGACGTTTGGTTGCTTGGATTTGACTTTCAACATGCCCGCCTGCATGAAAAGTTTCGTCGACTTCGTGGTTCTGTCCTCAGCCGGCTGTTGAGAGCCAATGGAATTGATGTTTTAATCATCTCAACCATATCGCTTGTCCAGATGATATGTGGTATGAATTTAGATGTCTTCTTTTATCTTATATCGCTAACAATTTTCACAGACTTTTCTACTCCCGTTTTATTGCAGAAACTATTGCAGGCCATGAAAGACCCGTCCCGACCAAAACGCGTACCTTTGACCTATGCTTTCATGTCCTTCGCTCTTCGACTTGTCGCTGCACAGTCTCAGGTGTTACTTCTGTGGTACGGGAGACGATGCTATGAACGGTCAAGGGGTGAAATGATCATGATGGTTTACGAAAAAGCCCTTTCTCGAAAGAACATTTCTGGACTAATGATTGAGGGCGATCCAGTACCATCCGACGAAGAAGATGGCGTCAATGGTGAGGCCGGAGCTCAAGAGAACGATCAACCCCCTACCAAAACCGTGGGTTTCTGGCAACGTATCACTTCTCGCAACCAAAAAAAGCCACAGAAACAAGCCAAAGAAGCAGCATCACTCGGCAAAATCTTTAACCTCTTGCGCGGAGATGTTTATGAAGTTGCACAGAGATTCTGGGAGGTTGATTCGTTGATTGACAAGCCACTGGGACTTGTGATCGCTACCTTCCTTGTCTGGACACTCTTTGGTCCGTCTTGTTTTCTGGGAATATTAGCCGTCCTGGTTGCACAGATCATGAATGCCCTAGTAACTAGAGCTCTTCTACGTTGGGAGCGAGTCAGACGAGTGGCAACGGATACAAGACTCCAAATAACTTCGCAATTTGTGGAAGCAATCCGTCATCTGCGATGGTACGGGTGGCAGAATCACTGGCTTCAACAAGTAATGGAGGCCCGACAGCATGAGTTGAATATTCGGATTGTGACTAGTCTGTGGAGTATCCTGATTCGCTTTATCAACGCTTTCGCCAGTGGCGTGTTTCCAGTGGTTGCGTTGTACGCGTATACCTTGTTGGCCGGGCATGAGCTGCGGATTGATATTATCTTTCCTGCATTACAATTATTTACCATGCTAGAGACTCGTCTTCGGGATATTCCTGGTCTTATCACATCATTTATCAATGCCTTCATTGCCCTTGGGCGTATCGAGGACTTCATGTCCGAACCAGACAAGGAGAATCTGCCTTCTGAAACCCCGGCGAACGATACTCTACTCTCAATGCATTCTTGTTCGTTTGCGTGGCCAGGAAAGGTCTCACCCGTCCTTGTTGATATCAATGTCACCATCCCCAAAGGACTGACTGTTGTCACTGGCAAGGTCGGTGCTGGAAAAACCGCATTTCTGCAAGCTCTTCTAGGAGAACTCGATAGACTTTCCGGTTCAGCGCATATTCCAAACGAAATGGTTGGATATTGCGCCCAGACACCGTGGCTACAAAGCATGAGTATTCGTGACAACATTCTATTCTCCGCACCCTACCATGACCAGCGCTACAAACGAACGCTAGAAGCTTGCGCCTTACTTCCAGATCTTGCTCAATTCAAACATGGCGATTTATCGTTTGTGGGTGAAAATGGCATTGGTTTATCAGGTGGACAAAAAGCGCGAGTATCTCTGGCAAGAGCTGTCTATAGCGCATCGCGGGTCCTGCTTTTGGATGATCCCCTGTCTGCGTTAGATCACAATACTGCGGAGCTGATAGTCCGCAAATGCTTCTCGGGGCCTTTGATGAAAGATCGAAGTATCGTTCTAGTGACGCATCGAACTACGTTGGTTCGTCAAATTGCGGATCAAATTATCAATATTTGTGGAAACCATGCCACTGTTTACGACAAGGATACCCTCAAGCTTGACGTGACCGAGTCTTCTCTGCAATTTGTCGATATTGAAAACGAAACAGAAGCGGAACCCACCCTCGAGGAGGAGACAGCTGCCGTGCCTGATAAATTCATCGAGGAAGAGCACCGGGCAGACGGGGGTGTCAAGGCCCGAGTGTACTGGAATTATATTAAGGCTGGAAAGTACCGGTGGTGGCTTACCCTCGTCCTGATTCTGGCGATCTACCGACTGATGGCTGTCGGGCAATCATGGTTCCTCAAAGGGTGGGGAGAAGCGTATGAGCGGACAACTGCTCTTCGAGGGGATCTCTCGAATTGGAGTGAGAGGTCAGCGCAAAGCACCCGGCCAGTCTCGAACTTGAGCATGGGCACACACTTTACGCCTCCGAACCCCATAGGCCAACTACCATCTCCGCGTGAGGATGTCCGACCCTGGCTATGGACATTTTTTGCCATCATCTCTTTCCAAGCGGTCACACTCCTTGTCGCTCAGCTTCTAATGCTGGTCATCGTCTATTATGCTGGGCAGTCCTTGTTCCGACGGGTCTTGGTCCGAGTCAGCCATGCGACCTTCCGATACTTGGGTAAGTTCTATGTAGATTGACTCAACAGGACAAAGCTGACCAATTCTCAAGATACAATCCCTCTTGGGCGCTTGATGAACCGTCTCACATCTGATATTGGAGTCGTGGATGGCAATATTAGTGAGCAATTCCAGGTGATTGCCTTCCAGGCTATCACTTGGATCTCTTCTGTCCTGGTGATCGCCACCGCTACCCCGGTGTTTTTGTTGTTTTCACTAGCTCTCACAGTCGCATTTGTCTCGGTATTCCTACGTTTCCTCCCCACATCTCAGAGCCTACGACGACTCGAAATGGTGTCCCTGAGTCCTTTGTTGTCCAACTTCGGCGAGCTATTACACGGTCTGACCACTGTCCGAGCTTTCCACGCAGAATCACAGTTCCAGAACAGGGTCATATCTGTGGTTGACAAGTTCCAGGGAATGGACCATTTCTATTGGTCTCTCCAGAGCTGGCTCATGTACCGCTTTGAGGGCCTGTCGGCTTGCTCAACATTTTGTCTAACAGCTCTGGCGTTATACACCAATACCACACCAGGACTGGTAGCTTTCGTGCTTATTGCTGCCAACAACTTTGTCGATTCCACACATGCATTGTGCAAGCAGTATGGCCAACTTCAAATGGACTTTGTGTCGGTGGAACGAGTCGACGAGTTACTCCACATTGAAGAAGAAACCCCTGGGACCATTGTTCCCCCTGCCGCATGGCCAACTTACGGTAGCGACGTTGTCTTCGAAGATGCAACTCTTCGTTATGCACCACATCTCGATCCTTCACTTATAAACGTCTCTCTTCGCATCCCCGGGGGATCCACCACAGCGGTTATCGGCCGTACTGGCAGCGGCAAGTCCACAATGGCAATGTCGCTTCTGAGCGTCATCAGACCCGAGTCTGGTCGCATTCTCATCGACGGCATCAATATTGCCGACGTCAGCACACAAGCATTGCGCACCCGAGTTACCTTCGTCACGCAAGATCCTGTTCTCTTCCCCGGTAGCATCAGACTCAATCTGGACCCGACAGGCGATTATTCCGATGAGCTGTGTAATGAAATCCTGGAGCGTCTCTGTAGTCGGCACGGCTGGAATCTTGAGACGCACATTGAGGCTGGAGGGAGGAACCTTAGCCAGGGTCAGCGGCAACTTATTGCTCTGACACGGGCTGTCCTTCGTCGAAGTGCAATTGTCATTCTCGATGAGGCGACTGCTTCCGTGGATCTTGAGACTTCTCTTGAGATTCAGCAGATTATCCGAGAGGAGCTGCAGCAGTCTACTGTCATTACGATTGCGCATCGCATAGAAGCTGTCAAGGATGCGGATTACTTTGTGGTTTTGGATCAGGGGCGGGTTTCGCGACAAGGGCATGTGCGAGACTTGTAGAGTTAGAATTCATCGATCCGAACAGCGATGATCGGTCCCCGGTACATATTAAGATCATTTGTTATACTCGGAGTTGAATAACCGAACTATCCGAATAGGAGGCCGAAAATATGCGCCCTAGATGAGGGACTTGGTATATAATTTCTCAAACGGGTATATAATCTTCACAACTTGGCACCGACCTGGGCCTTCTTCAGGATAGGCTCCATCTTGGTGGCCTTCATGATGTTACCCTTGATCTTAAGCTTGCCGCCCATGAACAGACGCTGAGCGTTGGCCTTGCCGGAAACGAGCTGAGCGAAGTCATTATCGGAGAGGGAGAGGGTCACTATTGACGAAGAGAAATTAGCATGTGTAAGATCAACCGCAGATCAGGAACGGAGACTCACCATCAGCCTTGCTGCCAGCAGGGGCAAGACCCTGTCCAACCTCGCCCTTGTTCTTGAGGTCAAGGTACCAAGAAGCCTCCTCACCACTAGTGTTCTTCAGGTTGAAGGCGAAGATAGCCTTGGCCTGGTTGATGGCATCCTTGCGGCTGGCTTCGTTGGCCTGGAGCGTCTCGTTGATCACGTCGAAGGCGGCGGACGAGGGGTGAGAATCTATTTTCATTAGCTGGGTTCTGGTACAGTCAGAATAAGGGGGTTATACCGATCTTGAGAGACATGGTGGATGTAGCGGTAGTACAAGGTGATGGTAAATCAAGAAGGCGGGTGAGTGAATATAAGTGACAATCTGCCAGAGCATGTGAACTGCCTTCGGCTTCCACGGGTGCCGAGGCCCCCACACTTTCCCCCGAAGCTCAGTGTCTGTGATTCTTCTTTCTACTTTGCTCTATTTGTTGCCATTTCTCCAGGATTCTGTCTAGACTGGACTAGGATCTGCATTTCTATTAGTACCGGTCATAGTCTTGGTCCCTCTCTCAGTCTTCCCCGTGTTGACAGTTGGGGGGGGGGGGGGGGGGGGGGGGGGGGGGGGGGGGGGGGGGGGGGGGGGGGGGGGGGGGGGGGGGGGGGGGGGGGGGGGGGGGGGGGGGGGGGGGGGGGGGGGGGGGGGGTG